AACCAACTGAGCCACCCAGGCGCCCCTGTAGTATTTTTAAAGGGAAGAATCTTTATCTTTTAAAGATACATACTGAAACTTACACTGATGAAATAAAATACCTGTGATTTGTTTCAAAATAATCTGAGGGGCGGGAGATCAGATACAGTCAAGAAAGCTCAGGGGAGGGCACAGAGCAGAGACGACCCGCCACAGTCAGTAATTGTTAAAGCCAGGTGATGGTGACACAGGGAGTCCTCTATTTTGGTATATGTTTGAAACTTCCGGTAGCACAAATATTAAAGGACAAGTAACTTTTAAGGAAAGGTATTGAAGGCCTACATGAGATTCTCACTGTTTTCCTGAATTTATCTTCTTATGCAGAATGAAATAAAGCGACTGTATGATCAACTTATCAAGAACAAAACATCTTTACAACAGTCTCTGAATGAAATTAGTGGCCAGAGTATTGATGAACAGCTTCAGGTAACCAAGTCAAAATAGTTAAACTGATCGAACCTGGGACCAAAAAGTTTTGTGCGATAGCTGTCTTCTGAACCACTTCCCTTTGTGAGCAGTGGCAAGGCTTAAGCAAATAGATAAAAATGAAAACTATTTATGTTGACCTTTAAAAATAACTCGTAAGTCGTTCTTTATGAAGAGTAAATTAAACCACCACAAGACCGTTGTTCCCTATCACCTGGGCAAAAATGTAAGTTTGTGCTGTGTCAGTGTGGGCTTTGGGAAAGAAGACTGTCCTTCTCTCAGGAGGGGTGGTGATTCGTCCAGCTTCTCCGGGTCCGTGAGTTGTAAATCAGAATTCGACGTGTAAATGCTCTTCCGCCCACGGCAGTTTCACCTCATTCATATACCCAGCAACTATTCATTGAGCACCTACTATGTTTAGACACCGCTCTAGGTGTTGGACTTGCGCTCTTAGCCTAAGGAAGTAAGACAAGTGCGAAGAGGTAAATATGTATATAAATATTCAAGGATGAACCTAGTAGCACTGCTTGAATCAAAACCCTCAAGTAGCCCAAAAGCCATTAAGAGCAGACTGTTACAAAAGCAATGGGTGGCCTTAGGATGGCATACTGTGTGTCCCATTAAAAGGAGTCAGATGTTTTTACTGATGAGTCTTAAGAGCAGCTGAGAAGCTGCTAGGTGAGGATGCGGACGGCAGAGTGGAAGGACATGTGAGCTCAGCGAGTGTAAGCGTGTGCACGGATACCTCTACTGGGTGCGCTCCGAACAGGTTGGGACCAGACTGTCAGCTGTGGCTCTTTGGCAGAAGCTGGAGGTGAGGGAGGAGCAATGGGACTTTCAGGTTTCCCTAAATTTTTTTCTGTACTGTGTAATTCTTTTAAAATGAATATATGTACCTGTCTGACTTATTAAAGGATTTTACTTTTTTGTGTCGTCTCTCACTTTAGAAAGCAGATGCATATATAATGGAGCTGCAGAACTCTGAGAGCCGAGTGGCAAAACTAAGAGACGAAGGGGAGAGGCTTCATTTACCTTATGTTTTATTGCAAGAGGTTTACAAATTAGAGGTATGTCTGAGCAGAAAACATTCAATCAGTGAATTACTGTGATTATAAGGAGTAAGACTTTCTTCCTCCATGAAGGGAGTTTAGATTCATTCTCCATTTGGATTCCTTTCATGATTGGATAAAGATGCTTTTTCTTTTCAGGATGTACTTGACGGTATGTGGGGAATCCTGAGAGCCAGGTACACCAAACTCAGCAGCCCTTTCATCACAGAGAGCCAGCAAGATGCCTTGTTGAGAGGCATCGCGGAACTAGTGGATATCGGGAAGGAAAAGCTTGCTCATGACCACTTACAACAAACCAAGAGTAAAGTTGCCTTACAGGCCCAAATACAAAATCACAAGGTAAGACACATGGGTCAGATTACCAGTCTTTCTGACTTAAACAGACAGCATCCGCTTTCTTCCTTGGTGAAATATACATTGCTCATTCATTCATTCGTTCATTGTTTTAACAAACATCTATTAGAGGGCTCCCACTATACCAGGAACCCTGCTAACCTCTAAGAATGTGATTGTGAGTGAAAACAGCACAGTTGCTTACATTCATGGAGCTTTCAGTTGAAAGAGAAGACATATTTATGAAGGAGCCCTTCAAACAAATTTAAAATTAAAATTGAGATACACGCCTTCAGAGCATTTAAGAGGGGAAGCTGAATTCAGGAGATTAGTGAAGGCTTTCCTGAGAACTTCAACCGAAAGAAATATATATACCTCAGTACATAAATATATACCTAGTGTAATGCTACAATAAATCTTTTAGTTTTCCATTCATTTTATTAAACAAAAACCTCATGATCACCAACTAAAGACCTGTAGTAATTTAAGTGCTGATGTAAAAAAATGTGTAAGACAGTTCCTGCCTAAAGCAGCAGAAGTCTAAGCTTGTGACAAGTAGACCTTAATCTAAGAAATTTAGAGGTAAATATTGTATAAAGAATGGAGGGGGAAAGGAGAAAGTAATATAATGAATATCTACAGTGTGTCGGGACCTATGCTGGATGCTGTTCTAAACCTTCACTGTATAGGGAAGGGATTCACATAAAAAGTTCCTCCAAACAATTAGAAGGGGCAGCTGACTATACATGGAGGACAACCATGTGAAGGAAAGCCTTCCTGTGTAAAGGTTCTTAAGTGTTAATCTGGGAGCTTTTACATCCCAGGATCCCAGTAGACCATGTCAACAGATTCCCTTTATTTGTCCATTTTATTGAGTAGAAAATCAAGCCGAAGTGTAGGAGCCTCTGGTTGTTCCATGTGTGGGCTTCTCGGGCTCACACATCTATCCATCCATTTTATTGTCTTGAAATAAATCAGTGACGGATCTACCTTTCTGTAAAGTTTCTTAAAACTCAGAGTAACCGATTTCGGAAGGTCTCACTAGAAATTGAAATTGACTAATAATGTTTGCCCTTTTACATGGACTGTTCTGTGGAAAATGTTACTTAGGATGATTTTTTCTTTATGATTTGTTAAAATGTCAGTGTTAAAGACTAAGGGGTACGCAGTCAGTTTTCTTTTTCTTCCCTCGTATGTTCGACTCTACATGGCTGTCATGGGATTTGGGACTAAAAAGCAAATATAACTGTATAAAAGTTGGAAGTAATTTGGTTTGCAAGCTCTCACAGTATAGAAATAAGTAAATATTAAAACGTTGTCTATTTTACAGCTTTTTTTCCAGAAGCTTGTCGCTGACATGCTGTTGATCCAAACATACTCCAACAAAATGCTTCCTTCTTTATTGCAAAAGAAAGAGACATTTTGGGCAGAACAAATAAAAGAAGTTAAATTACTGGAGGAAAAGTCACACCAATGTGGAATAAAACTACAGAGTTTGCTACAGGTATTTATTTGGGTTACGTAAACTTTGTATGTAAGCCTGGACTTCCGGAATTTTGACCTCTGCCTCCCGGTATCCAGAAGCGTCTATTTATCATTAAGCAGTAGTTAAATGGGAATTAACACTGAGGAGTGTGGAGGCCTGTTCTAGCTCTGACTGCTACTCTCTGAGTGAAATATTCACTTAGATTTCTCATACGTAAATTAGGGAATGACACAGCATCTTTCCACCTTCTGTGTTTGTGTGCAAATAAAATTGAGAGCACTTTAAGATCCCGAATGAGTTCATTTGCATGAAACAGTCAGTGGTTCAGAAACAGTACTTCCCGAAGAGGACAGGCTGAAGTGGACTCCTGATGGTCTCATCTCAGTTCAAAGAAGAAAATTAAGTTTGCATAAAGTTCTTTCTCAGTTTTAAGGTTTTCACCTTTAACTTCTTAAACACAGTGGATGTTAGCTCTTAAAGAAATAACCAAAAAGCAAGGAAATATCCAGCTTTATAATGTGATAGTTATTTTATGCTAATGAAATGAATTTTCTGGTTAGCTTGTCAAATTGGTATTTATAGCAATATTTCATGGTATTAAAAAAAAAAAGATCTTCTGAGCCCAAAGAGTGCCCCTGATAGCCAGGTGACCCACTACTTCAGTAGATAAGAGAATTAATAAGGGGGTTATTTTTCCAACACATAATATTTAGTGTCTATAAGTCAGCTCTGTAGTGTGCTGAGATCCTAGTGGTGGGCTTCCATAGACATGGCGAGAACTAGGACAAGGCAAGACTCAGGCTAAGAAAATAGTATTCCCCTGATGAAGTGTAAGCCCACATTCCTCCAACAGCACAATTATGCTCTTAGCGGCACAATCAGGTGATGGTCAGAGGGCTGGGGTTAGAGCAGGGAGGGCAGATGCAACCTAACAGGAGCCTCTATTGAGAAAGGCTTTAAAAGTTAGCCCCTTCCTTTCTAAGTAAGAGAATGGCTCTCTTCCAGCTCTGAAGTCTCCACAGAGGTGTGTATGCTGAGAAGATCCCTTTAACTTAATCATATTAGTTCCTGCTCAATTTGATGAGACAAGCATAAAACATGCCAACCGGATTTTTCAAAACCCTCTCCACAAAGATGGTGGAATGGTTTTTTCTATTAGATGCTGAGCTCTTAACAAGGGTGGGTTATATCTCTCAGAAACCTCTGGAATCTGTGTTTTAATTTTGTATGGTCTCAGAGTTCATTTTTATTTTTATGATTAATTTTGTCATTGTCTGGAACTAGTCTAGAAAAGGGCTCCCACTGATGTTATGTTCTTGATTCTCTAGAAATGGGAAGAATTTGATGAAAACTATACATCCCTTGAAAAGGATCTGGAAATTCTGGTATCTACATTGCCCTCTGTGAGTTTGGTGGAAGAGACAGAGGAAAGATTAATGGAAAGGATTTCATTTTACCAGGTAATTTGCTCCTGTTGAATCTGTCAGAGGCACGGTCCATTGCACTTTGTGTTTTCCTTTGCTTTGACTAAATTGCTCACCTTTGAAGGTGAATGATTTGAATTGAAGTTCATCACACCACTCACTATTAGACATACTTGGGGAAACTGCAGATTTGATTTTGGGGCTGCTCTGCGTAGTCACAGGTCTGGCTTGGGGTGGAGGTCCTGGGTTTGAGTCCTGGCTCTTATCAGTCACTGTGTCACCTTTTTGTCTCTAAGTCTCTTTATCTGTAGTTTCTTTATCTGTTGAATGTAGGTAATCAGGCTAGTTCTCCCTGTCTCAGGAGGTGGATATCAGTGGGCATGGAAATGAGTTAAGGTACAGAAAGAACTTTGTAAAACGTGGGCCACTAAACCTATATTTGGTTTTCCTACTTCAGTGAAGCCCGGTTTGGACATAGCCTGTGCAAGAGGCAATCATCTGTTATCTGCCACCAACATTATAAAAAGACTTCAAACAAAATTTTTCTTGTGCAACATTTAGTAGTAGTATCATCAAAGTTTCTGTGCCTCAAATTTTGATGCCATAGAAAAGAGAGCACCTTAAAATGGCTTTCGAGTGGCACTGAGATCATGACCAACAAGATAAAAATGAGTTTTAAGTCTTTTTTTTTTTTTTAAAGATTTTATTTATTTATTTGAGACAGAGAGAATGAGAGACAGAGAGCATGAGAGGGAGGAGGGTCAGAGGGAGAAGCAGGCTCCCGATGCGGGACTCGATCCCGGGACTCCAGGATCATGACCTGAGCCGAAGGCAGTCGCTTAACCAACTGAGCCACCCAGGCGCCCATGAGTTTTAAGTCTTAACAGAAAACTTAAAACACTTGGTTCTGACTTTTGAATATATGTCGTCAGCATCTGAGCTGTGCGGCTGGAGGTGGTTATCAGATGTCAGTTTCAAAACTTCAAAAGCAGGTGTGTTGCCTGAATAGACTCTGGGATGGAAAATGCATGAAATACTTGGCAGGACCCTGCCATTCTTCAGAAGCATTTCAGCTCCTAGAAGGAACATTTCCAGAGGTAATAACGCTCTAGTCATGCTGTCTAGATGCCTGGAAAGGTACAGTTGATCTCTTTGCCCTCTTATTATATTGAGCATAACTCTAAGATAAATCTGAATCCTCTGGGGGCAGGAAGCTGCTGCTTACTTCTTTGTTAGCCTCGGGATGCAGATGTACCCTCTGAACAGCTAAGAGAATGCAGTGGAAAATAGCATTTTAAACCTCATTGTGTTAAGGAACTGTTCATATTTGCCCACCTCATAGAAGCCTGATGATTTCCCCAGAAGATCATGTCCCTTAAAGTGCAACCTGTGATTCTGTTAAATTTGAACTATTTTTTTTTAAATGAAATCATTGTTCTAAGACTTTTAAATAAGTTTGCGGACTTAAAAGGCAGATGACTTGTAAAGCCCATCTAACTCACAGATTTCTTTAGGTCCTTCTCAGTCCTCTGCGTCATGGAGAGATTTGCATCTGTTTTGCTCGGCGGACATCTGTAGGCCATGGAACATAGTGTCTGTGTGGCCTCTGGAGTTGAACAAACCTTGTTCAGTGCTGGCTCTGCACCTTATGGGCTGAGTGGCCATTGCATTCTGACCCCTGTATATAAAATGGCATAATTAAAACTTCTCAGAGATATAATAGGGACACCTGGGTGGCTCAGTCGGTTAAGCGTCTGCCTTCGGCTCAGGTCACGATCCTGGGTCCTGGGATCCAGCCTCACATCTGGCTCCTTGCTTAGCAGGAAGCCTGCTTCTCCCTCTGCCTGTCGCTCCCCCTACTTGTGCTCTCTCTCTCTCTGTCTCTGTCAAATAAATAAATAAAATCTTAAAAACAACTTCTCAGAGATACTCTAAAGATGAAGTCTCTTGCACTGAAGGCTTAGAAAATTAGAACTCTTTTTTAAAAAATTTTTTAAGATTTTATTTTTAAGTAATCTGTACACCCAACATGGGGCTCGACCTCATGACCCCGAGATCGAGCGCATGCTCTTCTGACAGCCAGCCAGGAGTCCAGGACCTTTTTTTTTTTTTTTCCCCCAACAAATGTGGGAAGTTTTATTTACGCCTACAGGATCAAGTGGGAAAAGAGAGTTATAGGTAGGAGTGGTGGAAAGGACATTACAAGTAGAATTCTTTAGTAATTTTAAAAGTCTTAAGTTAATTGGAAAATAGGAAAAGTAATATTTTGATCAGAATTTATTTATTTATTTTTTTAAGTTATTTTGATTTAGAGAGTTTTTTTTTTTTTAATTTATTTATTTGAGAGAGAGAATGAGATAGAGAGAGCATGAGAGGGGGGAGGGTCAGAGGGAGAAGCAGACTCCCTGCCAAGCAGGGAGCCCGATGCGGGACTCGATCCTGGGACTCCAGGATCATGACCTGAGCCGAAGGCAGTTGCTTAACCAACTGAGCCACCCAGGCGCCCCAGAATTTATTTTTTAAGCTGAAATTTAAATAACTGTCAGGATAAGTGTCGTTAGCTGAACCCAGTGGTGGAAGGTAATTGCTTTTAGACAGAGTTCTCTTCTGGGGGTCATTGTATTGCAGTTTTAAAGATTTTCTTTTCATGAAGTTGGATTAGTGATGTACTGTTTTAATTTACACTTGTAAAGTCATCTTCCTTTCTCCCTATTGAATCCTTCCATTTAGAAGACTATAGGGACCTAAGGGATGATGAAGAAATGTTTTCTTATCCCCTTCAAACCTAGTTGCAATGTAAAGTGCTTACTGGGGCCGGTGAGGAGCACAGTATTTCTGAGGCTGACTGAGGGGTTGGTGGGGACTGCCAAGGGAGAGTGTCGAAGAGAGGAAGCTCTTCTAAGGGAAGCATGTCTGCCCAATTCCAGCCCGATGTGCCATGTGAGAATGCAGACCCAGGTTGCTCCATCTCCCAGTTTTCTCAGAGTCCCAGGAAATCCTGATTTCTATGTGAAATTTCCTGATTTTCAAAATAGTCTTCAGGTCACACAAAACTTGTCCACAAGCTGAATGTGCCCTGTAGACTGCCATCTTGTTTTTTGCTTTTAGGTGGACGAATTTTAACTATTCAGTCTAAAGCTGTAAATTTTTGTTTTCTGTTTGTCTGTATAAGTCTATAGAACAGAAAGAAATGTGCCGTAGAAATTGCATTAGTCGGACACTCTCATCATAAAAGATGATCAATAAAACATGAATCATGTTTCTTCGGCCACACTGCAAGAGTCTTGAGGGTTAGGAGAGTGTTAAACTTTCTTCAGTAGCCTCTACTGTAGGTTTTTAATGAAGTATTTGTGAATAGATTGGCTTCATTTTTAAATAATTAATTCTGTGGCTTTACCTTTTTTTAGCAAATAAAAAGGAACATTGATGAAAAGCATGCCCGGCTTTACCAAACTCTGAATGAAGGCAAGCAGCTGGTGGCATCCGTGAGCTGTCCTGAACTAGAGGGCCAGATTGCAAAGCTAGAAGAGCAGTGGTTGGCCCTAAACAAGAAGATCGACCATGAACTACACAGACTGCAAACACTTCTCAAGCATCTGCTCAGGTATGTTTTCTTAGGGATGGATTGCACTCAAATTTCCACATGGAGAAAGACCTTAGAGGGATCCTGTGGTCAACCACATTTTACATGTGGTCTCCCTGTTGTAAGGTTTTTCGTCAACAATTAAAGCTCTTGGGTCCCTCTTCTGGGCTAAGTGGGACCTAAGTTCTCTGAGGTTGGTTTGCTAGACTGAGGGTAATATGTAATCAGCTCTATGAAAACTAGGAATTATGTTCTAAAGTTATGCACGTTGCCATTACGCCATGATGTCGCTCTTTCCTATTCTCCTCCCAAAGTTGTTAAATTAAAAAATACTAATTTTAGCTAACAGAATAGTTTGAAAAAGTCTTCAAAGTTCCTCAGAGAATTTTGTTTAGTGGACCTAATCCTGAACCCCTTGAGGAAGAGAGAGAACATAGAACATTTGAATCTCCTCATCCCCGCCTCATAGGGAACTATCTTAACCTAGTTAAGAGTTTAAAGTTTAAAAGTTACAAGAGGAGTAGCATTTTCCTTGGATATTTTCCTTCACCTCCAATAAATATGTTGGTATCAAGCCAACAACAGTTTATTGTTATACAACTTATACAAATGCTCGTTGTATTTTTATTGTAAACATACCTGTCAAGAACATTTAGTGAATAAAAATAATTGCTGTCCTTACCCATGGGTTTATTTATTTATTTTTATTTTATTTTATTTTATTTTTTTATTATGTTAATCACCATACATTACATCATTAGTTTTTGATGTAGTGTTCCATGATTCATTGTTTGCATATAACACCCAGTGCTCCATGCAGAACGTGCCCTCTTTAATACCCATCACCAGGCTAACCCATTCCCCCACCCCCCTCCCCTCTAGAACCCTCAGTTTGTTTCTCAGAGTCCATAGTCTCTCATGGTTCGTCTTTACCCATGGGTTTATTTTTGCATAGCTGTAATAAGAAAATGTTTTAGACCTTAAAAATACCCGTTTTGTTCTAGATTCTTCATAAGAGAGTTATAGAAGACGCTAGGAGCATCAGTTTTGGGGCATGGGATAACAGAGGGTATCCTGACTTTCTGAATAATAAAAGAAGAAGAAAATATGCCGATGATGCATATCCTCCAGAGAGTAATTTCTAACTTACTTTCTCTCTCACTGTGCTTCTGTTAGTTATACCAGAGATTCGGATCAGTTAACCAAGTGGTTGGAATCTTCTCAGCAAACTCTGAATTACTGGAAAGAACAGTCCCTCAATGTGTCTCAGGACTTGGATACAGTCAGAAGCAACATAAACAACTTTTTTGTAAGTTGTAATAGAATATGCTCAGATAATTATTGTTGGAAATAAATATCAGGGGGACATGACCAGGGTTGATAGTGATAGTCTCCCTAATTATTTGTGGATAAGGGATAAGACTTGGGCTAATGGCATTCGTCAAACTTAGAGCTATTTATTTATACCGGTCATTTATATATTTAAAATAATGATACAGTAGATTTTTAATTGACCCTACAAAATGTATATAAATTTAAAACTTCCTCTGACACGGGGCATGCTTTATAAATGCAGGAAATAATTCCCTGCTTCCCCCTAAAAAACACATGGTTTTAAACTGTCATACGCAGAACTGATATTTCTATGAAAATGTTGTTCTATGGTTTTGAGATTTTTCTTAAAGTATTACTTTTGTAATATAAATTTATTCCTTTCCTGTATTTTTTCTCTCTTCTCCAATTTCATATTTTATAGCAATGATCACTCACCTTGGTATTAAAATGTAAATATTTTAAAATATACTTGAAAACACCTGTAAAGACAAAGGAAAGATTTCAAATATTTTAGTTAAAAATTACTTGCATTTAGTTCATTTCATGTGAACTTTGCTGTTTCTTTTAAAGTTGAAGTGATTTGGGGGTGGGGCGCCTGGGTGGCTCGGTTGTTTAAGCGTCTGCCTTCGGCTCAGGTCATGGTCCCAGGGTCCTGGGATCGAGCCCTGCATTGGGCTCCCTGCTCCGCGGGAAGCCTGCTTCTCCCTCTCCCACTCCCTCTGCTTGCATTCCCTCCCTCGCTGTGTCTCTCTCTGTCAAATAAATAAATAAAATCTTAAAATTTTTTTTTAAAAGTTTAAGTGATTTGTCTATTTTTTAAAAATATTAATTAAGCCACTCAAGGGACAGGAATTCCATCTCTTTTGTTCCTCATCCTCTATCTAATGCCTGGAACAGTGCCTGACATTTAGTAGGAAAAAGCTGTGTGTGTACGTGTATACACGAGCATGTGTGTGCACACATGCCCTTATGAGCATACACACACACACACACACACACGTATAGATACACGTGCAAACATTTGTGATGTGAATCGAGTTCAGTGATTTAGCTTCGGACTCTAACCAGTTATTCTGACTCTGTTATTCTTTGCTGTTTTCAAATTCTTAACATTTCTCAATGTTCCAACTGTTTACTCTAGGAGTTTTCAAAGGAGCTTGACGACAAGTCGTCCCTGAAGGCCGCGGTTGTAAGCACGGGGAACCAGCTTCTCCACCTGAAAGAAGCCGATGCGGCCACGCTGAGAGCTGCTTTAGCACAGTTTGAACAGAAATGGACCATGCTCATAACTCAACTTCCAGATGTTCAAGAAAAACTTCACCAGGTAGGTGTTTCAAGACGCAGCATTCGAATTAGCATTCACTTGTTAGCTCACAACTCCTTTAAAATTATTTCTCTGACTCAATAATTTTCATTGACACTGCCTATTTTCAGCGCTGGCACCACTGAATATAGGTCTTAATTACTGGCCTCTCCTCCAGTGGGATCTTTCTTAACAGAGAAGTCAGGCTTAATTACTTTATTTCCCAATTTATCTGCATCGCTGTGTTACTTTATGTGAAGGTCATTGTCATTGTTTTGGGGTCACTTATTCTAAGCCTGAATGCTGGGTTTGTTTTTGTGAGTCACCTGCATAATTATGGAGTGAGACCTTTTATCAAACCAGATATCATCTTTAGTGGATGCCCTTGATTCATTTTGTCAGCAGCAGGTAATTAAATGGAAATCATTTTGTCCTTGCAGCTTCAGATGGAGAAATTGCCATCTCGTAAAGCAATCACGGAAATGATTAGCTGGATGAACAATGTGGAACACCAAACTGCAGATGAAGACTCTGAGCGTTCACTGAGTTCTGCATCTCAAGTGAAAAATCTTCTTCAGAAGTACAAGGTAATTAAACAAAAAGAGCCAGAAGCCTTGTCATTAAATAAGAAGGCAAGTCAGTCAGAAGGGAAATATGGAACAGAGACACACAGGATGTGATTTAGAAAAACTCATTCTAGGGGCGAGGAATGAGATGTTGGGTGATTCTAGGCAGATGTTGGCATACTTCTTCCGCCTGGTTTCCTGTGGTAGCTCCCATCACCACAGGACAGAATCCAAGCTTTTAACTGGCTCTGACCCCTCTTTACCTCTCCAGCCTCCTCTTTTTTTCATTACCTGCTAAGACCCTAGACTCTGCCAGAAGCAAATGAACCAGCTGTGTCTGGTGCTCTCCCCGCTCATGCTTTGGTGCATGCTGCTTCAGGCTGGAATTCTCATGCCCCACTTCTAGCTATAGAAATGCTCTCCATCATCTTTCAAGAGTCTGCTCAAGTATCGCCTGATTTGGAAATCTACTCCTGACTCTCCCTACCAGATGAGTTTACTTTCTGGGATTAGGTGTCTCCATGGTGCTATAATTATTTGCTTACTTGTCTGTCTCCCCGCCTTGACTTGGCTTCTTGAGAGAGGAGCTACCTTCACCTCCCTGAAATAGCACACCTAGCCCAATACCTGGCGTCCAGTAGATAGCAAGTAAATGTTCTTTGCGTAAGAAAATGCGCAAGGAAAATTTGATGTCCTTCTACAAATAGATATGAAGGTGGCCTTCTCCGTGATGTTTGATTTCATGTAGATTTAACAAACATCGAACAAGCCACACACAAGCACTTACTGTGTGTCAGGCAAGTCCGCCACTAGGAACACAGGAGATAAATGAAGACTCTGGTCACTGCTTTCAAAGACCTCACAGGCTGATAGATCCAGCCTCTGGTAGACGGAGGATGCATACCTTGGTCACAAAGCATGATGTTAACAAGGATTTTTTAATATGCTAGCACATCCTCACTTCAGTGAGTAGTAGAATCTTTGGAGGGTCCACATATATGTATTTTTATAGGCTCTAGGAACCTAGCACATGCCACATGGTTTTCTCCCTGATACCGCCACAGAAGTGTTAGAACTTTCCAGGATAAGCCCAACAGGTATCAGGCTCCACAGAAACATGCTTGGCCCCGGGGTGTTTTTAGCATTGCTATAGAACTTAAAGTCCTCCAAACCTGGAGAGTAGATTGTCCCCAGAAGAACAGAGCAGCGACCTAAACTGGCAAAGTTCCTTAATGTCCTGGGTTTTCTGGGGGAGTCTTAACTGGAGACGTCCCATCCTCTCGTTTCCACGAGCCTGTAGGGTGGCTCTGAATTCCAGTGGAGCTCTCAGGAAGCCACTCGCAGGAACCCGTTGTCAGTCCCTACGTCTTGATTTTGGTTCAGATGATGCAGCCACCGTGCACGATGCCACCTTTGACTTTTCGGTCCGTTTGAAAATGGCGAGCCTCTGTTCCTAGGCATGTGGAATTCTACAAGAGACTCTCCACTCAAAGACATTCGGTGGGATTGGAGGGGAGGGTAGAACGTAACTCCAGACGGATGCCCCTTGATTAACGAATGCGAGTTTGGCGCTCCCTGGAGTGCACCAGAGGGGGAATCCGGTTCAACCTACTTCAGTTCAGGTTTTGGTTGTTTAATTTTGTTTGTTTTAGGAGTTCAGAATGGAAATGGACTACAAACAATGGATCGTTGACTTTGTCAACCAGTCAGTACTTCAGTTAAGCACCTGTGATGTAGAAAGTAAGCGCTATGAGAGGACAGAGTTTGCAGAGCACCTGGGAGAGATGAACCGCCAATGGCATTGGGTACACGGAACACTAAATAGAAAGGTGTGCTCGTGGGTCACAGTTTGTGTGATTTGGCCTTTGCAAAATACCACTTTCTGAAAAATTTTAAGAAAGATATTCATATGGTTAACTTACAGTGAAGCCTGATAATCCTCTTCACGATAGCCCTTTTATGAAGCCTATGTTCTGGCATTCTCCAGTGGTGCCTGTACGAGCGTATGAAGAAGTTCTTATTTCTTTGAGATTTCTTAGTGGGAAATTGAGTTAGGCAAGTGAAGAGGAGAAATTTTATTTAAGAAGAGGTCAAGGATTATGTGAGACTACTAAATGGTCAAAGATTTTGACATTTTCCGTGAAAGTAAATGTTCAAAAGTGGCAAAGCTATTACAGCTTTGAAAAGATTATGAAAAGGAAGAAAAACGTATGTGGCCTTTTGGTAGATTTTCGTTCCATGACACTGAAAATATTAAGAAAACTCATTCTTGGAGAAATATGCAGTATTTATATGTAATTGATAGTAACAACTGGTTGATTTCTTTATGTGTAGAGAATGCATACAGACGGATTTATACAATTAAGATTCAAGTGCATGAGTGGACAAAGAAAATGGACAGACAGTTCACAAAAGAGAAAATTTATAATTAGCAAATCAACATGGAAAGATTACAACTTCAATTATCAGGCATTCAAAGTAAACATGTAACATTATACATTTATTAAATTAGAAAAATTTAGTAAGATAAAGATAAAAGCCTGAAGCTATCCCATTCATATGCAGATAATGGCTTACATACCCTTTTGGAAAGCATTTAGAAAACTTCAAGAACTAGAGTAATAATCATCTTATTTCTTAACCTAGCCATGCCACCTCTTACACATTTATCTTAAGTAGATAGCCCTTCAGAAAAGGAAAAAATTCACACACAAACTGTTCAACATTATTTATACTGGTGAAAAATGTAAAATGCCTTAATTTCCAACTATAAAGGAATAATTAATCAAATTATACTGTGTCCATTTAATAAAATATTGGGCAGCCTTTTAAATTAATATAAGGCATATGTCATAACCAACCAAGCAAGTGCCTATGACATTGGAAAAGGAACATAAAACTTTATACATACTGTGATTGTAACCTAATAAAAATTGTGAGCATAGAAATGAGAAGAATCACAGATATTAAAAATAGTCATTATTTTATTAAACTGATTATTTGTGATATTTTTGATATTGACTTAATTTTTAAGCCACTCTAGTGAAGAGTGTCTAGGGAAAGAAAGTTTTCTTAAGTTTTAAGTATACCAGTAGATAGTGCAATGAAAAAAATTGAATGTTAGCAACATGATTTTATTTTGTATAGGTATTATGGAACTCCAAAACAGCCAGCTTGCTTAGGTTAGCTTTCATTTCAAATGCTAAATGGGATTTTAATTCTATTTCCTAATTTATGAATCTTTATTCCAAAAGTAATTGGGAAATCTAATGCTAAATATGAGTAATCTGAGAAGAAACAAAATTATTTTATTAAAATTAACTGTCATTCATGACATTTACATTTTAAAGCATGTGGTTTAAAATAAATTTTTATTATTTATAACTTACAGATACAACATTTAGAACAACTTTTGGAAAGTATCACTGAGAATGAAAACAAAATACAGATTTTGAACAACTGGATGGAGGCGCAAGAGGAGAGACTGAAAACTTTACAAAAACCTGCAAGTGTGATCTCGGTGCAGAAGATGCTCCTGGACTGTCAGGTGAGAAGGCCCACGGCACCTGTCCACGCGGCGTGGCCAGGCTGGTTATGTGGCCATGTTGTCTAGTCGCTGCTTCTGCCCCAAGGACTAGGGTAAGCGTCTGTACTTTTCCTGAGGGTCTCCTCCAAATCCCCAGGTACTTCCTTTGTTATATAAAATAATCCTCCATGGGTTTTACAAAATTGCAAAATGCTATTTTTTTTTATGACAAGCAGAAGGTATTTTCAGTTATTGTTGCTCCTAAGCCCTGAATGTTACTCCTGAAAGAGAACATTCAAAGGGCATTTTGATTTGATGTTTTCCAATTTGTGTGTGTGTGTGTGTGTGTTTTTATTAACTTAATATTTACAAAATTACTCCAAGGTTTCCATTATTTTTAGTGTTTCATTCTGTTTCTTCAGAGGAAAATGGTTTTCTTTTACCTGCTGTGTAATGTGTTCTGAAAGGACCACTGTCCCTGGGAACCACTGTCTGAATTACATTTGAGCTTCAAGCTCTTGGCTGTGCCCTTGGTTTTGCTCAGTTGTCATTTGCCAGGTCACATAGTCTCCGAGATGCCCTCCCCCGAGTGTAGGGTAGTCCTCCTTGAGTACTGCCGGATTGTGTCCCTCCCTACTGAAAACACTCCGGCTGTCCCTGTCGCTATAGTTGGCATGGACTATGATGCCTCTGCACCGACTGCATGAGGGCAAGACACGACTCCCCGTCGGGGCTGGAAGGTCAGCTCACACCCCAGTTGTACGGAGAAGGTTCTAGAAGAATACTGGGCATGCTATGGGAGCAGCAACGCTCATTAGGAGAGATCTTTGCAAGTGGTCCTGTCCTGTTTCTAGCCATTTCCATTTAGAATTCCTTCAGCCACCTTGGGTTCAGCATAACTTCGGACTGGAAGCCGACACTCCACAGGTCCGTGCTGCACCATCCTCCCCCGGCCACCCTGGTTTCACTTGAGTTCTAAACTATCCACGGCATGGGGTGTCCTCACTGTTTTCCAGATGAGAAAATGGAGGCTTGGTGGTTTGATGACTTAATGTCCAGTCAGACAGCCAATCCCAGGCAGACATGGAATAGGGACTCGAGCTCCTGGACTCTTTCTACTATACCACGATGATAAGGACTTAGTACCTAGCCTCTTCCAAAATCCAGATCCATGTAGTAATTGAAACTATTGCAAAAATTGAATTGAATGTATTGTGATTAAAATGTCTTTAGGTGTGATGTTATTTACTTATGTACCCTAATGGCGTTTTTACTCGAAAAGGGCAATCTCCTGTCTCTTACACCTCATTGTTCTGTAATATTGTGCATATGAAAACTTTTCCCTCTTGCCCTTTCAGGATATAGAAAATCAACTTGCAATTAAATCCAAAGCCCTGGATGAGTTGAGACAAAGTTACCTGACTTCGGAGAGTGGGACAATGCCACTGTTAGAAGACACAGCATCCAGAATTGATGGGTTATTTCGAAAAAGGAGCAGTGTTACCAACCAGGTACTAGAACTAAAAGTATACCATTTCTCTTCATATATTCTTTCATCTTTTGTTGTTGTTTAATCACAGAAACTCACGCCATGCTAAAAACTGAGGAGTTGCTCAGAGAAATACTAGAGAAAAGCATTTCAAATCTCCCCCTTTTTTTTTTGCACTGGATAATTAGAGGTAGAGCCATCAATTCTAACACCATTGGCAGGCTAGAAATCCGTCTGGTTATCTTTGTTTTGTCTAATGTACTCACAGACAAAAATGTCTCCACCCCCAACCCAGCAGAGCGTCTGGCACTGTTTCCTGGCCAGATACATAGGAGCAGCTAAGAAAAAGTACATCCAGGGAAGTGCCTCAGGGAGGCAGTGATCCTGTCTCCTGTAGCCTCTGTTAAGCTTCTAGCTTAAGCATGGTCAGCATATGAGGAACTCCAGAGGCAGGGAGAAGCATAGCATGTAGTGAGGAGAAAGTAAAGAGGAAGAATGTAGAAGATGTCTGGTCACTTTATGAAAGACGTGTGTTTTTTTTGTTTTTGTTTTTTAATTTATTTGAGAGAGAGAGAGAGTGGCAAGAGAGAGCACAAGCAGGGGGAGGGGCAGAGGGAAAGGGAGGAGCAGACTCCCTGCTGAGCAGGGAGCCCGATGTGGGACTTGATCCCAGGACCCTGGGATCGTGACCTGAGCTGAAGGCGGACGCTTAACTGACTGGGCCACCCAGTCGCCCTGAAAGACATGTTAAAGTCTGCATCTTCCCCTTCCAGGAGTAGAGCACCAAAAGAGCAAAGACCGGCATCTCTAGATGTTACAACTTGACGGTTCCCCACAAATGGAGAGAAAAGCTATAAATGTTAGCCAATTATAGAGATGTGTCCGTACCTACCAGAGGTCCTTATTGTGGATTTATTTGTTGTCTACTAAAATCTACTTTTGACCATTTGTTCTAAGAGGGAATTGGAATAACGTTTTTTTTTGGTTTTTTTGTTTTTTTTTAAAGATTTTATTTATTTATTTGAGACAGAGAGAATGAGAGACAGAGAGCATGAGAGGGAGGAGGGTCAGAGGGAGAAGCAGACTCCCTGCCGAGCAGGGAGCCCGATGCAGGACTCGATCCCGAGACTCCAGGATCATGACCTGAGCCGAAGGCAGTCGCTTAACCAACTGAGCCACCCAGGCGCCCCTGGAATAACATTTTATGAATGAAACTCATAGGTGACCCTCAGCCTCCTTACTCCCCCAGAACTCAGGCAGGAAAATAGAGATGAGCTTAACATATCTTGTGTGAGTCATTTGTTAAACATATCTTCTGTGAGGTACTAGGCTCACTGCCAATAGTACAAAGATAAACAAGAAAATAAATGGGTCCTACCCTCAAAGAGCTCATAGGCTGCTAGAAGATACGTACTTGAACAGATAATCACAACACAGAATTATAATAAAAATGTTGGGGTAAAGAAGATTGAGATAATGCAAGTAAAAAAACATGCAGATGGTACTACCATAGAAGGTAGACATATGGATAAATGGAATAGAGTTAAGAGTCTAGAAATAAACCCTCACATTATAGTCAACTAATTTTTAGACCAGGTTGCCAAGATAATTCCGGGGTGGGGGGATGGTCTTTTCAAAAAATGGCACTAGAATTGCTGTACATCCACATTCAAAAGAATGAGGTTAGACCTATACCTTCACACCATATATAAAAATTAAGTGGATCAAAGATATAAGCGCTAAAACTACAAAACTCTTAGAAGAAAACCTAGGCCTCAATCTCCATGACTGGATTAGGCAATAGTTTCTTAGATATGATACCAATAGCACAAGCAACGAAAGAAAAAATAAACTGGACTTCATCAGTGCTAAACACTTTTGTGTTCCAAAGGACACCATCAACAAAGTGAAACGACAAACCACAAAATACAAAAATATTTGCTTATTTAGGGGCTTGCATCTACAATATAGAAAGGACAGATAACCCAAGGGAAAACATGAGCAAGTGATCTGAATAACTATTTCTGTAAAGAAGATATAAATGGCCAATATTGTACATGAAAAGATGCTCAATATTATTAATCAAGGAAATACAAATCAAAGCCACAATGAAATACTACTTCACACCCCCCTCAACGTGGTAATAATAAGGCAGACAGTAACAAATGTTAGCAAGGGTATGGAGACATTGAAACTCCCATCCACTGCTCGTGAATGCAGAATGGAGTAACTGCGTTGGAGAACAGTGTGGCAGGTCCTAGAGTTAATGTATGACTCAGCAACTTTACTCCCAAGGATCTCCCCAAGAGAAATGAGAACATATGTCCACACCAAAAACTTGTACATGAATGTTCATAGCAGGATGATTCATAATAGCCAAAAAGTAGAAACGATCCAAGTGTCCCTCGACTTATGAGTGGATAAATAAGTGGTATATCCATGCAATGGGATGTTATTCAGCCATAAAAAGGAATGAAGTACTCATACTTGCTACAACATTGATGGCCTTAGAAACATCATGCTAAGTGAAAGGAAGCAGTCGCCAAAGACCATATATTGTAGGATTCCATTTATACGAAATGTCCAGGATAGACAAATTCTCTAAAGCCAAAGGTAGATCATGGCTGGGGAAGGGTTGGGGAAGAACGAGGAGTGACTGCCAGTGGGTATGGGGTTTCCTTTTGGGGTGATACAAATGTTCTAAAACTGATTATGGTGATTGCATACTTTTAAATAAGTGAATTGTATGAAATGTGAGTTATATCTCAATAATGCTATTTTTAAATTTTTTTTTTATTTTTTAAAGTAGATCTCTGTACCTAACGTGGGGCTTGAACTCGTGACCCCTGAAGTCAGAGTCACGTGCTCTACTGACGGAGCCAGCCAAGTGCCCCAAAGTTATTTTTTTAATGCAGAAAATATAAAACCTAGACCATCCATAGATAAGTACTCCAAAGTCAGTAGAGCCTCATCTTTAAGAGCAAGGGCTTTGATTCTCTGTCTAAATAAAAATCCTGGCAGCCCCACTTTCTATCTGTGTCCCAGGACAGGTACTTCACCTCTCTATGCCTCAGTTTTCTGGTCTGTAAAATAGGGATGATAGTACTTCTGACTTTCTAGCAATGCCTGTATGGCAGTCAGTGCTGCCCTATTGGCTGATTCTACTTCGAACATTCTGAAAATGTTCCTCCTTGTTTCTGGTGTAGTGAATTTTGCTTCATGCCTTCTTATCCTTTCCCTCAAACCACACGTGCCATTTCTTATCCATGAAGCTGTAATAGTCTAAGGGTTGCCCTTCAGAGCACCAGTAGTTGTACCAACCTTGTATGTGGAAGCCATGAAGGCCTTCTGTGGCCTGGACCATGGCGGTGCCTTGTGTAGTCATGTGCCTGTAGGTACCCTTCTATCTGAAACCTCCCTGCCACCCAGACAAGTCCCAGCTCCTGTCTATAAGGAGTTCCCTTCATACCTCCTTTGTTTCCTTACTATCTTTTATTCTTTCGTAATGATGGATTCTTTTCCTGAGCCCTTGAGCACTTACAAACACATTCAGCCTACACAGTTGCCAATGTGAGACTGACATTTTAGCATCCCAGGTTGTTTTTTTATCTGTATTGTTTGGGGCAAGGTTTGAGGAAATCTGCCTGTCAACACTGATGTGCGTCCTCCGTGTGGATGTTAAGCAGAGAACAGAGGGCCTGAATGCAGGCCTGTGTGGTTACATCTAATCATCACAAATAAACCTGTCCAGGTGGGCCAACATAGTGATCACACTCCATTTCTATTCAGATCCTTATTTTACATTGAGATACCACCCTTTGAGTATATAATACAGTGGTTTTTAGTATATTCACAGAGATACACAACCATTACTAGTAATTCCAGGACATTTTTGTCAACTCAAAAAGAAACCCCCATTATTCCTCATTCCTCCCTTCCCTCAGTCCCTGGAAACACTAATCCACTTTCCATCTCTATGTATATGCCTATTCTGGATATTTCCTACACATGGAATCATACAACATGTGGTCTTCTCTGTCTGCGTTTCACTTAGCATGTTTTCAACATCAATATTAAAGTCTGTATCAGAACTTTATGGATGAATAACATTCCATTGTATGGATATGGCACACTTAGTTTATCCATTGATGGACATTTGTGGGTTGTTTTCACTTTTAGGCTATCATGAATCATGCTGCTATGAACGTTTGTGTACAGGCTTTTGTATGAACATATGCTTCCATTTCTCTTGGGTATATACCTAAGAGTGGAATTAGTGGGTCATATGGTAACTCCGTACTTAACTCTTTGACGAACTGTCAAACATTTTTCTACAGAGGCTGCACCATTTTATGTTTCCACTGGCAATGTATGAGGGTTCCAATTTTTCCACACACTCGCCAACACTGGTTATTATCCATCTTTGATTATAGACATCTTAGTGGATGTGAAATGACCTCTCATTGTGGTTTTGATTTATACTTCTCTAATGACTGTGGATGTTCTTTAGAGAGACATCTGTTCACTTTGCCCAATTTAATTCTTTGGTTATTTGTCTTTTTATTGTTGAGCTATAAATGTTCTTTATGCAACATATAAAAATATATATACTTAGATATTCTCAGTTGTATCTGAGATCATTTACATGCTTCAGCCTCTCACAGACATACTAATGGATAAAATATGCCCACCATTGCGTTTCCTCCTAGTTTGTATTTGCCTATTGTTTTGACTGAGCACGTGCCTCTCCAATTTATGCTGACTCAAGTGCCAGGTAACAGAGGTAACATTTTACACTAACAATGCTTTACAGTTTTCAGAACATTTTCACAGACACTATGTTGTTTATGTTTTTATTTATTGTATCTGTTTTGTGAGTAGGGGAACTGACTCAAGGGTTAAATAACTTGCCCAAGATGAGAAAGCTCACAGGTTGTCACCGAAATGTGTGCTCACAGATTCTGATTCCCCACCCATTGTTCTTTCTCTGGGCTGTCTCCTGCTGGGCTGAACTCTGTCCATGCCAATCCTTTTGGCCTCAGGGATCTGTTCCTTTCACCTGTTCCAAAACTTAGTCCTCGCCAATATCTTTCATTCATTGACCTACCCCTTCTCACCTCAGTTAATCACTGACACTCCCTCAGTGCTCTCAAACTGAAATGCCTAAATTAGATCCCATGGTAGAATCCTTAGAAGGGAACAAAATGATGGGAGAGCCTCTTCTTAATGATTTTCTATATATGTTTCCCCTTCTCATATAGGTCAATGAGCTCAAGACCTCCATGCAGTCTGTTTTACAGGAGTGGAAGGTTTATGATAAACTGTATGAGGAAGTGACGATGATGACAATCCGATTCTGGTACTGCATGGAGCACAGCAAGCCTGTGGTTTTGTCATTAGAAGCCTTAAGATGCCAGGTGCAGAACCTTCAGGTAAATTAACCAGATCTTGGCATAGTGCGTCCGCTGTTGGCAGAAAATCTCCAGTGGAATCAAGCACAGAAATGGACACAATTGCCTTGGTGCTGTCCACAGAGAAGCACAAAACAGTATTTTAAATAACCTGCCCTCTTCTCTCAGTCTCTTCAGGACGAAGCCGAGAACAGTGAAGGAAGTTGGGAAAAACTGCAGGAGGTGATTGGAAAACTCAAAGATCGCTGCCCTTCGGTTGCTGAGATAATTGAAGAGAAATGCCAAGATACGCACGCCAGGTGTGCTTTAAGATACCGTTTGTTTATTTATTTGACAGAGAGAGACAGCGAGAGAGGGAACACAAGCAGGGGGAGTGGCGGAGGAAGAAGCAGGCTTCCCGCAGAGCAGGGAGCCGGATGCGGGGCTCGATCCCAGGACCCTGGGATCGTGACCTGAGCCGAAGGCAGATGCTTAACGAGTGAGCCACCCAGATGCACCAAGATACTGTTTGAATAACAGAGCAGATATCTTTATCTCAATGATATGTGGTCAGTGACGTGACAGAGGCTTTGTAAAGTCTTCATAGTCGTCGGGTAATAACTGGATTTGTGCTATTCTGGTTTCTTCTACTTTGAAGCCTCTAGTTTATGTAAGATTTGATTTTGGGAAGGCCACTTCATGCCTTGTAGCCAGGGTAGCCACACTGCCCAGTGTGAGCCTCAGGGACACCAAAATCCCAGGCTGAGACAGGCTTAACAGGGTAGTCAGATGGACAGTCTGTTTCACTGGAAACATAAGATGGAAAAAAGGAGATGTTATTATTCCTCTTGGGGAGGCGATTTGTGAGGTTGGAAAGAATTCTTTGATGAACTGCTTATGGTAGGAAGCTCCTTCTAAGGAGTGTGGCCCTAGTTAATTGCAAGGCTTTTATTTTGCTGAGTATCAGGACATGAAATGCGGCCTAAAGATAATTTGCTCCAGTGATGAAGACATGTAAGCTATCCTCCGTGCCCTTCTCTACCCTTCCTCCATGCAGATTCAGCATCTCAGTAAATCCACTTTGAACAAGTGTTGAACAAGGGACACCAAATTTATGTACCCTGCAGTGGCACCCTCAGCTCATGATCCAGTCCTTACTGGGAGAAGGGAAGGAGGGCGTAAGGAGGCACATAGACATGTATCCAATGCCACTTCTGGTATCGGGACCACCCTCAAAACATGGCAGTGCGGTTTGCTATTAAAGGGATTCATTTGTTGCGACAGCACATACACATTCTATTGTTGGCACAAGAATACATCAGAAGGCTTGTTGGAAAAGATTGGAGAAAATAGCACCAAAATGTTAACGGTTGTTAGCTATACATTACTGTCAGGTGGTTTTGTTACCTTCTTCTTTATAGATAAGTAGGTAGGTAGGAAGGTAGGTAGATAAGCTAGACACAGATGTAGGGATAGATGGATTTAAACATACACGTTTTGTGGGGTTTTGTTTTTATTTTATAATGAGTGTATGTTGTATTTATAATTGGGAAAAAATATCGTTAAGAAAAAACACTATTCTGGGATGCCTGGGTGGCTAAGTTGGTTAAGTGCCTGACCTCTGCTTAGGTCATGATCCTAGGGTCTTGGGATCGAGCCCCACGTCGGGCTCCGTGCTCAGCAGGGAATCTGCATCTCCGTCTGCCTCTGCTGCGCCCCCCGCTTGTGCTCTCTCTCTCACAAATAAATAAAATAAAATCTTAAAAAAGAAAAAACCTGTTCCGATAAGATTTTTTAAATGCATAAAAATAAAGCGATTGTGCCATTTTTCACCTTTTCCATCTATTTAGCAGGGTTAAGGATATTATGAAATAAACATTTTCATGTGCTTCAGGTGAAAATATAAATACTATAATGCTTCCAGAAAGCTAGTTTGACCATATATATACCCATAACCTTAAAAATGTTTACATATTTTTATTCCTTGACCAAAGTAATTCTCTCAGAAATCTAGTTTAAGACCAGTGTTTTGAAATGCAGAAAAAGGCCTTTTGAACAAGTTGTATTTGAGCATTAGATTTGAAAGCAAAAATTGAAAATTACTTCAGTATCCACACTAAACTCGAATTTAGTAATTAAACAAAAACCAGACCATTTAAAGACTATTATGTACAGCCATTTCAAATTAGACTTACTTATTTTTTATTAATAACATGGGGAAATCTTTAAGTCATATGGGAAAGATACTACAGTCTGTCTGTATGTGGAATAAAAACGATTTCTGTTATTCCCGCTGTTATATAAGGAACATGTTGCTTTTGTAATTAGAAAATAAATTTGGGGCGCCTGGGTGCCTCAGTCGGTTAAGTGTTTGCCTTCGGCTCAGGTCATGATCCCAGGGTCCTGGGATCGAGCCCCGAATCAGGCTCCCCGCTCAGTGGGGAGCCTGCTTCTCCTTCTGCCTGCCGCTCCCCCTGCTTATGCTCTCCTCTCTCTCTTTCTCTCTCTCTCTCATTCTCTCTGACAAATAAAATATTAAATAAAAAAAATAAATTTGGCATAAGCACAATTTAAATAAGGCCTATTTAACGACCCCCCTCTCTAAACCAGGAGCCCCTCCCATGTGGAGAAGGTTTCATCAGGCATGCAGTTCAACACATTCTCTATCTTTGCCTAACAGACATTCGAAATACAATAGATCTTGGGACGCCTGGGTGGCTCAGTTTGTTAAGCATTAGCCTTGAGCTCTGGTCATGATCCCTGCTCCACAGGAAGCCTGCTTCTCCCTCTCTCCCTGCCTGTTTTCCCTCTCTCGCTGTGTGTGTCTCTCTCTCTGTCAAATAAATAAAAATTTAAAAATCTTTAAAAAAAAAAAATACAATAGATCTTGCCAATCACAAATTTGGTAGTTTTTGTTGAGAATTATAAAGTCAACGAAATATCCTAACTTGGACTTCTGTTTATATAATGGTGATGCATTAATAAACAACCCATCTGCTCTTGACTTACTGGTAGAATGTGTGCATTGTGCTTTTGCTGCACTGGGACGGAGGGTCTGAGGGTCCTGTTGTTCATGTTGTTCTGACAGGTGGGCCCAGGTAAACCAAGACCTTGCGGACCAGTTACAGAAGGCACAGAGTCTGCTTCAGCTCTGGAAGGCCTGTAACGGTGCTCACGCTGAAGCTGCAACGAGGCTGGAGCAGCAGGAAGCGAAGTACCAACAGCTTGAAAACATCAACATGTCTGGAAACAACCTGGCCGAGATCCTGACCCCAGCCCTGCAGGATGTGAAGGTGGTTGCAAAGCCCATTGGGAAAACCAAGGCCAAGAGAGCCCAACAGACAGGGCCATGACCCGGGGACTAGGCAGACCACAGGGACAAATAAGTGGGTCAGGACAGATTCATGAGCAGCTCGTGTAGGACACAAATAAGCCTGGAATGTGCAGGGTTGGGAGAGCCAGGTGGCAGCTCAGAGGTGAGGTCTAGGCAGCAGGTAGCTGGGTCAAAAGCACCTGACAGCACCTTGTTCCAAGTTTCCCCTTTCATTCTAGCAGAGAAATCTCAAAAACCTCATTCAAGGTCTCAGATAAAGGCAAAAGTATCTCAAATGAGTGTGATCATCTATACTCATCTACACATCTACACACTCTCACTTTAGAAATAATCATGGACTCGTGCCACATTAATATGGCTTTTCTGTGGGTGTAATTATTTTTGGACAATATTTAAGAGTTGTATAATTTTATCCTATTATAGCAATGAGTGCCCAGAAGGTGAACACTCTCTAGTTTTAAACTGGGTGACCAGCTGCATTGTGTATCTTCTGATACTATAGGTCAAATCAAAAAGTATTAATCAATTTAGTTAGACAATCCAACAAATATGATCTGTATTTCAGATTAACTTCTACCTGATCTGTTGTTTAAACAAATTTCACATACACCGTATTTATAGAGTAGCCCTAAAATCAGCTTGGTTAATGAGATTCTGCGGTCTCTGCAAATGAGTCCATTTATGTCATAAAATCTCAGACACAGGGCAGAGTTGCATTGATTCATAAAATAGCCTTAAGGTGGATCCCTAAAGTGTTCAGTGATTAGAAATGTATAACAGAGGAATCTACCCGGGTGGTCTCCAGTTTCTGTACACTAGAAGGCCCAAACTCTGTTGATCGGTTGTCCGTTTTAGCTCTGAACTGACATATTTCTGAAGATCACCAGCGATGTGCATCATATAATGAAAGCTTAGCTTTTTCAGCTCTTTAAAATAAATAATAACAAAAAGCCACACCCATAATTTTAGAGCAGAAATTCTCCTAGATATTGATAGAGTGGCAGGGATGGGAATTTTTGTTATAGGAGGAGGAAATGTTTTCTGATCACTGTTTCTTCTCCAGGAGCTGCAGCATGATGTGCAGAAGACAAAAGAAGCCTTTCTCCAGAATTCCACTCTCCTGGATCGACTTCCACAACTCCCAGAGTCCAGCACCCACATGCCCCGCTCTACACAACTGCACTCCCTTCAGAGGGCTTCTTACTTGGAAACGATGCTCCTTGTGAAGGCTAATGAATTTGAGGTTCATCTCATTCTTCCATTCAAGTTGTATTCTCGAACATTTGCAGGCTACCCTCAATTCCTTATATCCTATGAAGTAATAGTTATTCGTGCTTTATGGACTGCTCCTCAGGGAAACTACAGAATAAAGATGTCCCAAACATAAAGATGAACTCACATGACTGTTCAATCACACGGGCAATGGGCAGATCTTAGGCAAACATCTGTTCTTCATTGAACATGTTAGTTTATGAAATGAGCTATTAGATTCCTTACACTGTTCAGATCTCATAGTTATTTGATCTCCAAATGGGGTACTCGAGTCATAGAAGTAACTGCTTAAAGCTTAACCATCTGTTGTACTCTCTATTCACGTTTTGAAAAACCTTTAGTGCATGAGCTGTTAAAAAGCACAGAAAGCCATAGAACTCCAATATTACATCTCAATATCAACAAGAAGAAAACATTTAACTAGCAAGACTGAGGGAGCAGAGTACTCACTATCCCTCCTCGATATGCCCCCTCAAGCAGGTGATCCAGTTATCCCTGAAGGCTCAGTGCTTTGCCAGAGGCACAGAGTAAAAACAAGGAGTCTTCTGAATATTCATCTCTGAATAGTCAAGATAATAATGAGCTGCTGGGGATTGAAAACACCTTGAGCTTTTATCAGCTTCCAAGACTATGCTTAATTCTGTTATATATGCACATGAAATGATTTCTAATGAAAATTTCTCTTGTTCTAGTTTGTTCTGTCACAGTTCAAGGATTTTGGGGACCGTTTGGAATCTTTAAAAGGTCTCATTATGCATGAAGAAGAGAATTTGGATAAACTCTGTCGTCAAGAAAAAGAGGAAAACCCTGACTTATTCCTGGTATTGCCAATTTTTGTGTTTCCTTAGGGCTTAGACTCACCATAGGATAAAAAATAGACTAATGACTGTCGAGTTATAGAATCTGTATCTTCACTTGAGCACAGTCATTTATATGCCATTCATTCTTGGCCTTATCCTAAGGCCTAGAAAAGTATGACAACACAGAGATCTATTTTAGTAATATGCCACAGTAAATTTAGCAGACTTAAAATTTTTTGACATCTTTACTAATTAGCTTCGGTGAACTAGAATAATCTAGGAATTGGCCTTTGTGATTAATTGAATTTTTCTGGTTAGCTGAAGATCAAAAGTAAAATATCCTATTAAATGAATTCTATATTCTTTCTTTCTTTATTAAATTAGTAAGTTTAGAATAAGTAACATAAATTAAAGAATTCTGGATCCTACAAATGCCTAAGGACGGATATTCATAACCTAGATCAAGAGTCAGCTAACTAGGCACACTGTCCAAATCTTGTCCTCCACCTGTTTGTATAAAGTGTTATTGGCACACAGTCATGCCCTTCCATTTATTCATTGTCTGTGGGAGTTTTCATGCTGCAGGGGCAGAGCTGAATAGTTATAACAGAGATCATATGGCCCATAAAAGCTGCAATATTTATGATCTAGCCCTTTACAGAAAAAATTTGCTGACCCTAACCTAGATTACTATGGCAGAGTTCTGTAGTGATAACATGGATATTGTGAAGGATGTTTGCTTAACATATCATTGACCTAGATGCTGTCCCTGGAATATTTTAAAAATAACGTTTTGCTGAGTTTGCTTTCTTGTGATTTCATGTTCTATCAAAATATGGATGTTTAAGTACCATGCTTTACTAGGGTTATTTTAAGGACTAAATTTTCATTGGATTTGTAGGTAAACTGCATGATCTGTTGAAGGTCAAGTTATTGGCAGAATACATGGGAGGTCCTAAATGGGCCCTTTAAAAAAAAAAAAACTCATCTCCATCTTCCTTAAAAAGAAAATCTGACATCATTTTCTATTTCCTGGGCTGTTCAGGTGCTGACCACGTGTGCACTTGTTGTTCTAGAAAAGCCACAGGATTGGGAGTTCAGGGTTCAGGTCCAGCTCTAATACTAACTGGCTATTTGACTGTGGGCTAGTCATTTACCTATTTAGCTCCCAGTTTTCCCTCATGTTTCAGATAAGGATGGTCTGCAGGATCTCTGAGGCCTTTTCATCATCTAGATAGCTTACTGACCTCCAGAAACCTGAAACTTAATTTTTTTTAATAGAACCATGTGTTGGCACTGACGGCCCAATCACCTGCTGTTGAGCATTTGAATGAAGTAAGCCTCAAGCTCCCACTTAGTGACATAGCCATAAAGACGTTACAAAATACGAACCGGCAGTGGATTCGGGCCACGGCAACAGCCCTGGAACGCTGCAGGTCAGAGCATCCCATCCCTACCATTCTGTTTCAGTGAAGCTAAAATGAGCAGCTTGAGCTCAGGAGTGTCATTGTTTTGTGACTCTTTTTTGTTCGTTTATAAACCTTTGTAGTGAGCTTCAGGGAATTGGCTTGAATGAAAAGTTTCTTTATTGCTGTGAAAAATGGGTCCAGTTTTTGGAGAAGATAGAAGAGATGCTCAAGGTGAATCTTGCCGACAGCCTCCCAGCTCTCCTGGAACAGCAGAAAACATATGAGGTAATCTTTGCTTTCTGCTACTTTGTACCTCACCCCGGGACAGGAGTCGGGGAAAGATACTCATTGTATTTTATTTTAAATCTATCAATCCCTAGATACCGAATATAGGTCTTTAGGCAGATTCATTTGTCAATTGATTGTAAAGTTCTCACACATTTCATAAATTTCAACATTTTGTTTTAGTGCTGTCCTTTGTTAATGAGAGAACTCCTAGATTTTCTGCAGTAGGTGGAAACTTCTAGCACAACTTTGCTTCCATAGAATGCATACATACCAAGAGCAGGCTAAAATACTGCAACTTCATCTTTGCATTTTCACTGAATAATTCCCTAAAATATTGAAGTACCTGGTATAATTATAACTGTAGCATTAATGATTGGACAGAGGAATTTCCCCACACGTGTGCTGACGGACATTTGGAAATACTCTTGGTGGTTATAGACAGATACTGCATTTTGAAAGTATCCATGATTAGGTCACTGTAATTTTTAATGTAACTGATTTAAGTCTGTGTTGTTACATTAATGTTCTCCAATGAAAATGAAGTTCATTGAACCAAAACACCCTGAATGGTCTTGATTAAATTACCAAACCTCTTTACATCTTAGTTTCCTTGTCTTTAAATGAGTATGATAATAGTACTTACATCTGAAGGTTGACGAATAAGCGAGACGTGCGTGTTTTACACAGTGCCTAACAAGTAGTAAATGCCCAATAAATGGGCATTAGGTAGTTATTATTAGGCCTGTTTGCTTCTGAGATTATATCCACAGGTGACGTTGATGTGATGGTTGAGCACTTTTTGCAAAGAAGCTCTAATAATTTGAAAATTAATCCTCTCACATGTCCTATCTAGGACCTTAGATTTTAATAGGAAATGTAAGTTCCGTGTTCGTAAAAAGAAATCTAGCTGATATCTTCTATTTTAACTCCTATACAGATGTTAGAAGCTGAAGTTTCTATAAACCAGACAATTGCTGATTCTTATGTCAGCCAGTGCTTACAACTCTTGGACACAACAGAAATAGAGGAGAGGTAAGCTGTCCCTGGGGCTCATGATGGTTGTGTGTGTGGAGGGGAACCCAGTGGGAGCTGGCTTCCCACCACGTGGATCTTGACCACTTCAGTGACCTGCAGCCTTGTCAGTTGATAGAACATCATGGGGTCAGTCTCCTGACTGTTTATTAGGACGGGGACTTGCTGTGTGGCCACAGAAAGGTCAGTCACACTTTTGTGTACAGTAGTGGGGGTGACATTAGCAGACAGTAGACGGGTCCTTTGCAAGTACCCACTCACCAAGTATAGTTAATGAAGTTTTTACCCCAAAGGATTCTTCTGTAGTGTTTTCCTCTCTCTACCTTCAGCCTCATGACATTTTGCTATTTAAAAAATAATTCTTAAGGGGCGCCCCGGGGTCTCAGTCGGTTAATTGGCTCGGGTCATGATCCCAGGGTCCTGGGGTCGAGCCCCGGGTCGGGCTCCCTGCTCAGTTCTCCC